TGTACACTGATCTTCCTTTCCTACCCTCTGATCACTTGAAAACCTCGAAAATTAAGAAGTAGCTACTTTCACTTCTTTTCTAGTACTTCAGCAGTGAAGCTAAGCTGAAGAGAATGTAACATTCTCCTTAAAGGATGCTGAACTGGAATCACCTCTGATGTAGCCTTACCTAATAGAAAGTTGCCTAGAATGAAACTGTCTGACAGAAATCATTCAGGAATATGCGAGTACTAGGTAATTTGTATCACTCTGTCCCCACAGAGCACAGTGGCTGCTGTGGTGAGTTCTTAGCATCTTGCCTTAGACAACATAGGCCCCTTTAAACGTGTGCCAATACTGTTTATTATGACAATGAAGATGAAAATACTTGAAAACAGAGATGATGATAATAATGTAATTGATACAGAAGAATAAATTGTGCTCTTGGAGTTGACATAGGTATAACATTGGCTTATAAAATGCAACACGAGTGAATTTTGTCATTAGACTCCCTGGATTCAGATTTCCATGTCGCCAGTGTCTGACTGTGTGACAATGAGCACGTTTGATAACTACCAAACTTCACCAACTACTTCACATGTAAAATAGTGACATAAATATTACTAATTCTTTTTTTTTTTTTTTTTTTTTTTGAGACAGAGTTGCACTCCTGTTGCCCAGGTTGGAGTGCAACGGCACGATCTCGGCTCACTGCAACCTCCGCCTTCCAGGTTCAAGCAATCCTCCTGCCTCAGCCTCTCGAGTAGCTGTGATTACAGGCATGTGCCACCTCTGTCTGGCTAATTTTGTATGTTTAGTAGAGACGGGGGTGTCAGCAACCTCAGGTGATCCACCCATCTTGGCCTCCCACAGTGCTGGGATTACAGGCGTGAGTCACTGTGCCCGGCCCTATTAATTCTTAAACTTATTCTCATGATTAAGCAAAATAGCATGGTGAATGGCACATAAATCAAGCATCACTGTGAACTATTAGTAAATGTTTGGTGTTCTAGAGTAAGTAAACAGAATGTGACCTTAATTCGCTCCTTCCAGGAAAAGGTTGCCAGTGTTTATTTGGCAGTGCACTGCATCCTGCCAAACAAAATGGTCTAAATTTTTTCCGTATGTAGTTTTATATTTTATATCCCTTTTATTTTATTCTGGCAATTAATTATTATAGATAAATCCTATTGTTAAACTTAAATTGATAATGTTCTACAAACCAGTTGGTGCCTGTAAACAGAGTCTCAGTTTAAGACAGACAAATAATGTCTCCCTCTGAGTTCATCCTCTATGATGCCTTCAGGGCTGGCTTTCTAAAACTGGGGTATGTCACATACTACTTCCTCTCTCACAAATCTACAATTTCTCCCTTATCAACTCCTTAACAACAAAATAATTCCTTACCTTTGAATATAATAATCTCAAGTAGTCCTATCTTTTCTTATTTTTATTTTTATTTCATTAACACAGGGTCTGGCTCTGTCATCCAGACTGCAGTGCAGTGGCACAATCTCAGCTCACTGCAACCTCCGCCTCCCAGGCTCCAGCGATTCTCCTGCCTCAGCGTCCCGAGTAGCTGGGATTACGAGCTGCCTAATTTTTGTATTTTTTGTAGAAATGAGGTCTCACTATGTTACCCAGGCTGGTTTCAAACTCCTGGACTCAAGCCATCTGCCCACCCCAGCCTGCCAAAGGGCTGGGACTACAGGTGTGAACCACATACCAGGCCAGTTTTATTGGAATTTATCTTGTCTTACCTCTTCCTTTTCCACTCACACTCCTCAAACCTGCTTACTTTTGGAGACAATACCACATTCATGTGGACTACAAGCAGAGTGATTCATGAGAATAAAAATGGTCCCATAGAAGGGAAGATATGCAGGAGAAAGAAGAACAATATAAATGGTAAATATAAAGCAATATTGACTAAATAAGCAATAAAAATCACGGGTGCTAGGGTTTCAAATATCACACTCATGTTTTTGGTTAGTCTTTTCATTACTTTATCCAAGACCAAAGTAAGTGTGCTGTGTTACTATATAAAATTGTTTTATACCACTAATCATTTTCTCATGGTCTCAAAGCATATTAGTTTATTGTTCATTGTTTCATCACTGATGCTGAAATAACTAAGAATGTATATTACATTTTCTGCATTGTCATAATCTAATAGCATAATGATTAGCATAAACTGTGGCCTTTAAATATTTAATGAATAAAGTCACCTTTATTGTAATTATTATAGAATTAATTGAATTATCTTTTATTGCCCTAACCCAATCTGGTTATTCTTAAATTATTATCATATTTATTCAATCTTTTCAAATATATTTCTGGAAATTTATTCCATTAAATAGTAAAAAACTGCCTCATTATTAATGACTGAATACTCATATACTAAAACATGATTTTTCAAAATTATATATTTGGAAGTCTAAATAATAATTATTTTTGCCTTTGATTGATAGCTCAGTAAGTCCTCAGAATAGGGCTAAAGATTCACATTCATTATTTAATCCTCAAAGAACCTCAGTGAGTTTACTGCTGTTATCCCCATTTAACCAATGGGGACGGACTGAGGCTTGAAGAATGTCTGTTAAAAACGGAAGGTCACAGACAGGGTCAAGATTAGGCCATATGTCTTAAATGATTCAAACTAAATTTCACCGATTTTTCTTGCCTCCAGATTTTGATCAATAGAAAATCTAAGCTAGATTAAACATATTTACTAAAGCTAAATTGATAATTTCAGAGGAGATGACCAGGGAGGGACACGGACAGGAGTAAATGGCTTTTGATTTGCAACAAATAGAAATAGACTTTCTGATTCTGGAGAAAGACACTTTCCTGCTGATGCAGGCCCTCTTCTTCAGGATACTGTGGCATTTTTGGAGCCTACAGTAGTATCCAAGTCAGACTAACATCAATTGCAGGATTTCAAGAGAAACTACTGACCACTGTTTGGACACCCATGGATAGAAAACAGCACATATCTCCACCTTAAGCCAATGGTGGACATCCTGAACACAGACCCTGTCTGTGACCTTCCGTTTTGAACAGGACATCCTGAACATAGTCAGTAGATACCCCCTCCTCACAGTGAACTGTGTCATCGTGTCATTCCAGGTTCAGCCTCCTTCACACCCAACCACCACCCAAACCAAGGAACCCACACTGAGAACAAAGTCAAGCAAACCAATGTCATAACTCCAGTGAAGGTGGTGAGGACATTACAAGAAGATAAGAGAAACAGAATCCTCAGGTTCCCTCACCTTTGCTCTTAACTTAGAGATGGTGGAACAGGGGTGCACTTTTCTATCTTCTGTGAACTGCAAAAATTTTGTGAAACTTGCCTTTGTGTACTTGACACTGGGATCTCCTTCTTCATACCCTGCTTCAGGAAATTTGATCAGTAATAGTTACGTGGATAAATAACATTGATAAATAGCAATACTTACATTAATAAGTAACAGTTTTCCGAGAAAAAAAAAAAAAAAAAAAAGCTTTTTTCTCCTACAATGAAAGCTCAGTTTATATTTGAGTGCATGTTTTTGGTGATTAAGATCACCAAAAGGCTGAAAGGGGTCTGTTATCTTATAAATTTATCTCAAGAAGGTTTGATATCAGATTTATCATTAAGATGAAATGACCAGACCAGAACCTCTTAATATTTGAAAACATACTCAACACATAGCATTTTTTAAATTAGTTACTATCACTTCAGTATCAGATCTTTCAAATATTCTATTTGAATGAAATTTTAAGAATCAACTCTGTCTATATTTTCCTCTTCCAAATCATCTCTTATTCAAAATAAAAATCCATATTCTTTCAGATCTCTCTGATAATTTTTAGTTTTTGTACATATTTGCCATATTATTTTGTGTTTTGCTTGAAAGTATATAGCAGATAGGTTCATAGCAAACTTTTTGGAGTCAGATGATCTAGGAGTTAATCCTGGCACTTATGGGACACATAATCCACCTGCTATTATTTCCACTCCCACATGTTGTTTGCTTATCGACTATATAAAGATAAAATATGAAACACTCAATGTGCTTGTGAGGACAAAATTATACCATCTCCACAGAGTACCTAACATAGAGCCTGTCACATGTCAAAGACCCAAATAATGGTGGCTGTAACATTCCTTCAGTATGGGTAAGTTAATACTAAAGCTAGAGATTCTGAAATGGATTATGGATTAGACAAAAGCCCTATTTTTGTCTTCCAGTTTAAAGAGTTAAAGATGAATTTATCAGTAGCTAAAATTTGTTTAACAAATTATTGAGGCTACAAGGCATGAGAGAGCAAAACAGACTAGATTTGTGGACCCACACTCAAAACATGCTTTTTATTTATGTCTCCGTTTAGATATCAGAGGTACAACATGATCTCTGAAAACTTAAAGCACATTGATAAACGTAAATTTATGACTAAATTCACAACTACTTTGAATACTTTCACTAGATTCATCTAATCATAATAGCTCTAAAAGCCATGAGTTCATGTAACTGTCTGTGCATACAAATGTACCAAAATAAACAAGCATAAAAGAAAATGGACAGCAACCAGTTGCAGTGGCTCATGCCTGTAATCCCTGCAGTTTGGGAGGTCAAAGCAAGAGGATCTCTCGAGGCCTGGAGTTTGAGACCAGCCTGGGCAAGAGTGAGACCCTCATCTTTTTAGAAAAGAAAGTAAAAGAAACCAGAAAACAGAATGCTATAGAAGTTTTGGGGGAAAATAACATAAGACACAGATTTTTCTTGTGTCCTAGAAATTATTTTCCAGAAAACTCCAGTTGCCACTTATCCTTGGGCATCCTTTAGAAATCATGGCTCTGTCTCTCTAACATGTGATATTTATGTCAATGTATTTGATGTTTAGAAATAATAAATCCAAATCTTACAGAGCTTAAATGGCCAATCTATAGCTATAATGAAATGAAGACACAACCCTACATTTTATATTTTTAAATCCAATTACCTTGCCATTATATAACAGTAAAACAGCTGGTCCAGTGAATTTTGGCAATGTGCTTCTCAAACTGATGAAAAACTACTAATACAGACATTTGGTTTAATTGTTTAGTATTTGGACTGTGATACGTTAGTCAATGTTCCCATGAATATACAGTCTCAAAATACTAGGTTGGGCATTTTTCATCTGAAATATCCCCACTATAATTAGCCCTGTCAGCTTGTATTATTTCAAGTATCTTCACTCATATATATCTCAAGGACACCTAAATGTACCATGCAATTAACTGAATTATTGAGGTATGTAACAATTTGTATTATAGTTCCATTGGATATATATGTATATCCAGAATATATACATATGTGTGTGTGTGTATATATATGTGTGTGTGTATTTAGACAAATTTTAAGTGAAAATGATATCAAAATATTTGAAGGCATTTTAAAAATATTTTTCTTCTCAACCGCTGGCTTCAGTTTGAGTCATCCGTGGAGGAACATACAGCAGAGAATGGGATTAGTCTGGGAAACAGAGGATACTGCCTGGAATACAGAACTCCATCATATGGGAATTCCTGCTGCAAAGTTGTGTCCAATCAAGAATTAAGTCCCTAAGTACACACACTCCTCATGTTAGCTCCTAACAACACACAGATTCTTTCAATGTTCAGTTGTTTATTCTGTGCAATTACTGCCATTCAAATCACCCAAGCAGGATGAATCACAGCGTGGTAACTGAGTTCATTATTCTGGGCCTCACCAAAAAGCCTGAACTCCAGGGAATTATCTTCCTCTTTTTTCTCATTATCTATCTTGTGGCTTTTCTCGGCAACATGCTCATTATCATTGCCATAATCTCTAACAACACCTTGCATATGCCCATGTATATTTTCCTTCTGACACTGGCTGTTGTGGACATCATCTGTACAACAAGCATCATACCAAAGATGCTGGGGACCACGCTAACATCAGAAAACACCATTTCATATGCAGGCTGCATGTCCCAGCTCTTCTTCTTCACATGGTCTCTGGGAGCTGAGATGGTTCTCTTCACCACCATGGCCTATGACCGCTATGTGGCCATTTGTTTCCCTCTTCATTACAGTACTATTATGAACCACCGTATGTGTGTAGCCTTGCTCAGCATGGTCATGGCTATTGCAGTCACCAATTCCTGGGTGCACACAGCTCTCATCATGAGGTTGACTTTCTGTGGACCAAACACCATTGACCACTTCTTCTGTGAGATACCCCCATTGCTGGCTTTGTCCTGTAGCCCTGTAAGAATCAATGAGGTGATGGTGTATGTTGCTGATATTACCCTGGCCATAGGGGACTTTATTCTTACCTGCATCTCCTGTGGTTTTATCATTGTTGCTATTCTCCGTATCCGCACAGTGGAAGGCAAGAGGAAGGCCTTCTCAACATGGTCATCCCATCTCACAGTGGTGGCCCTTTACCATTCTCCTGTAATCTACACCTATATCCGCCCTGCTTCCAGCTATACATTTGAAAGAGACAAGGTGGTAGCTGCACTCTATACTCTTGTGACTCCCACATTAAACCCAATGGTGTACAGCTTCCAGAATAGGGAGATGCAGGAAGGAATTAGGAAGATGTTTGCATTTCTGAAACACTAGTAGTTTCAACATGGAACATCACCTCTCTACTCTAGAACCATCTTCTAGAGCATCTCAGATTTTACTGATTTTTCATAGTTACCTCCATTCCAAATTTTCCTTTCTCTCTTATTCCTGCCTTCTTCCTAGCAGTCTCATTGTCTCCAAAATTCTGTACTCTTTATGTGAAGAATATTCACAAAGCAATATGCACAATACCCTCACATAAATATATATCATAATATATATTCCAATATTTTCCAAAAATATGTACATAACTTCTAATACTTACATATGCATATACACAAATATTTACCTATAAGTGCATGTGCACATCATACATGCAAATATCACAAAACATTTTGTGTATTTTGTGCCATTTATTTGTTGGTATATGAATGTGAGCTGGAGAAAAGTAGTGGTATGTAAAAAAAAGAAAAGATCAACAACACTAATGTTCTGGGAAATGAAAAACAAAACCACAGTGAGATATCACCTCAATTTAGTTACAATGGCTATAATTAAAAAGACTTCATGACTAAAACACCAAAAGCAATGGCAACAAAAGCCAAAATTGACAAATGGGATCTCATTAAACTAAAGAACTTCTGCACTGCAAAAGAAACTATCATCAGACTGAACAGGCAACCTGCAGAATGGGAGAAAATTTTTGCAATCTATCCATTTGACAAAGGGCTAATATCCAGAATAACAAGTGCTGGAGAGGAGGTGGAGAAAAGGGAACCCATACACATTGTTGGTGGAAATGTAAATTCGTACAGCCACTTTAAAAAACAGTATGAAGGTTTCTCAAAAAATTAAAAATAGAACTCCCATATGATCCACCAATTCCACTACTGGGTAGATATTCAAAGAAAATAAAACTGATATGTTGAAGAGCTATCTGCACTCCCATGTTTATCGGAACCATATTCACAATAGTCAAGATATGGAATCAACTTCAGTGTCCACCAGCAGATGAATTGATAAAGAAAATGTGATATATATACACAATGGAATACTCTTTAGCCATACAAAGAATAAAATTATTTCATTAAGAACTACATGAATGTGCTACAGAAGACATTATGTTAAGTGAAATAAGCTAGGCACAAAACACAAACACTGAATGATCTCATTAAAATGTGGAATTTCTAAAAATTGATCTCATAGAAGTAGAGAGTAGAAAAGTGGTTTCCAGAAGGAAAGGTGAATAGGGGAAAGGAGAGAATAGCAAAAGGTTTGTCAAAAGATACTAAGTTATAGTTAGGAGATATAAATTCAAGAGATCTATTGTACAGTAAAGTGACTATAATTAATGATGATTGGATTCTTAAAAAAATGCAGAGAGAGTGGATGTTAAGTGCTTTTCCCACTAAAATGGTAACTAGGTGAGCTAATGCAATTGTTAATTAGCTAGACATCATAATCCCACAATGTGGGATTATGCCCATACTTCAAAATCTTATGGGCACATGATAAAATAAAAAGAAGAAATTTTAAACACAACACCATTTACATTAGCACCCAAAATTGAAATACTTAGGTACAGATCTAATGACATATGTGCAAGACATATATGAGAAAAACTACAAAACTCTAATAAAAAAATCAAAGAAGAAATGAATAAGTGGAGACATATTCCACGCTCATGCATAAGAAGACCCAATATTGTCAAGATGTTGGTTCTTCCAACTTGATCTATAGATTCAATGTAATCCCACTGAAAATCCCAGCAAGTTGTTTTGTATTTATTAAGAAATTTTTCCTAAAAGTTAAAGGAAGAAACAAAAGACCCAGAACAACCAGAACAACAGTGAAAGAGAATAACAAAGTTGGAGGACTTATACTACCTGACTTTGACACTTATTGTAAAGTTACAGTGATGAAGACAGTGTGGTATTGGTAAAAGAATAGACAATGGGACAGGCTAGAGCCCAGAAATAGTCCCACATACATATAGTCAACAGATGTTTGACAAAGAAGCAAAGGCAGTAAAACGGAGCAATAATAGTCTTCAACAAATGGTGCTAAAACAACTGCATATCTACATGCAAAAAATAAATAGACATAAACCTTAAGTCCTTCACAAAAACTAAAATGAATCACAGACTTAAATATAAAATACAAAACTATAGAACCCTAAGATGATGGAGGGGAAAACTTAGATGACATTGGGTATGGCAATAACTTTTTAGATAAAACACAAGAACCACAATTCATAAAATAAATCATTGAAAAGTCAAACTTTATTTTAAAGAAATCTTCTCTGTGAAACACAATGTCAAGAGGACAAGTAGACAAACCACACACTGGAAGAAAATATTTGGCAAAAATACATCTGATAAAGAACTTATCCATTGCCAGCTGCAGTAACTCCCACCTATATTCCTAGCACTTAGGGAGGCTGAGGTGGGAGGATTGTTACAGGCCAGAAGTTCAAGACTAGCCTGGGCAACACAGCAAGATTCCATCACTAAATTAAAAAGAAAAAAAATACCTTATTTAAATTACATAAAGAACCCTTAAGGGCTGGACGTGGTTGCTCATGCCTGTAATACCAACACTTTGGGAGGCCGAGGTGGGCGGATCATCTCAGGTCGGGAGTTTGAGACCAGCCTGACTGACATGGAGAAACCCCGTCTCTACTAAAAATACAAAATTAGCTGGGCATGGTGGTACATTCCTGTAATTCCAGCTACCTGGGAGGCAGGAGAATCGCTTGAACCTGGGAGGCAGAGGTTATAGCGGGCCGAGATCACACCATTGCACTCCAGCCTGGGCAACAAGAGTGAAACTTCATCTCAAAAAGAAACAAAATAAAGGAAAAAAAGAACCCTTAAAACTCAACAATAGGAAAAGTAACAATGTAATTAAAAATGGGCAAAGTACCTTAAGTGACACCTCACCAAAGAAGAAATACAGATGGCAAATAAGCATATGAGAAGATGCTCTATATCATATGTTGTTAGGGAAATATAAATTCAGGTAATAAGTTGCCACTACACACCTATTAGTATGACTGAAATATGAAACGCTGATATCACCAATTTCTGGAGAGGATGCAGAGCAACATCGGATTTTTAGGGCAGTGAAAAAATTCTGTAAGATGTTATAATGATGGATACAGTTATTATACATTTGTCCAAACTCACAGAATGTACATCACTAAGAGTGAACACTAAGATAAACTATGGACTTTGCATGATGATTGATGTAGGTTCATCAGTTATACAAAATGTACCATTGTGCTATGGATGTTGACAAGGGGGAGGCTGTGTATGTGTGCAGGCAGGAGGGATATGGGAAATATCCTTAACTTCCTCTCTATTTTGCTGTGAACCTAAAACTGCTGTGAAAAAAATAGTGTTTTCTGGGTGGGTGGTGTGTGCCTGTAGTCACAGATACACAGGAGGCAGAGGCAGGAAGATTGCTTGAGGCCAGGAGTTTGAGGCTATAGTGCACTATTATGGTACCTGTGGATAGCCACTGCAATTCAGCCTGGGCAACATAGCAAGACTCCATCTCTTAAAAAGAATCTTACAATTTCAAAAAAGTCTTTAAAAGTCTATAAAAATCAAAGTCAAAAAGGATAGATCTGCTATACAACAGAGGGCATAGGTATATGAGTGTTTACTGAACATGTATATGAAGAAGTCTCTCAACTTTATACTACAACATTCACAATACAATGTTAGGGGAAATTCAACATATCAAGTAAACAAAATGAGGGATGTAAAGATTTGAATCATTCAACTACATTCATGCACTCATATTCTTCTCAAATGCACAATTTAATAAATGACTTTCTATTAGGGCACCATAAATAAATTAAATAGACCATTTACCAAAAGAAAAACAACCTAAACAAGAATTATGTATTTAGAAACTGTAAAATGGCTTTCTAATTTGCTATGGTATTAGGACAATATGAAAGAGAGATTGTGATCTCAGTCCATTGATGTAAGAAATAGAGAGAGAGATATCAGGAAATAAAAACTGTTTAATAAGAGGAAACCACTTTTCAAAATTGTAGGATATAGCCACAGGTATATTTATAGAAGGGGGAAAAATTGGGGCCTGGATTCAATACTTCTCACACAAATACATTTAAAGAAAAGGTAGGTAACATGTCTAGGGAAATATGAGCTGTCTGAGAAAAACAAACTCCTTAAAGTAAAATGAAACAAGCAAAATGAAAGCATGTTGTCAGATAAAAATTATTAACTCCTCATACAGTAAAATTTAAAATAAATATATAACCCCAAAATGAGGATCCATAGTTAACATAAAGGAGAAAAATATAAAGAGAAGCAAGTAGGAATAATAAGTACAAATATAAATATCTAGAAAAAAACACTAAAAATGTTTTAATTAACAGATTTGACATAACTAGTTAGTGATTACTCTGATGAACTGATAGGTAGAATTGTCTCAGACAAAATCCAGATAAGACTTCAACATAATAGCATCACTAAAATGAAATAAATAAATATACATATGAGAATATATATTGGATGAAAAAAGTGTTTTCTTTATGTGAAGCAGGATTATAGTCCCACCTTAAAAATGTAACCTGGCCGGGCGCGGTGGCTCACGCCTGTAATCCCAGCACTTTGGGAGGCCGAGGTGGGCGGATCACAAGGTTAGGAGATCGAGACCATGGTGAAACCCCGTCTCTACTAAAAAAATAGGAAAAATTAGCCGGGCGCAGTGGCGGGCACCTGTGGTCCCAGCTCCTCGGGAGGCTGAGGCAGGAGAATGGCGTGAACCCGGGAGGCGGAGCTTGCAGTGAGCCGAGATTGTGCCACTGCACTCCAGTCTGGGCGACAGAGCGAGACTCCGTCTCAAAAAAAAAAAAAAAAAAAAAAAAATGTAACCTGATATATTAGGAAAAATCTAAACATAGACATGTTTGTAAAGTTTAACATCAAAGACAAAGAGAAAATTCTAGAATCTTCCCCAAATAATAAAAAAGGTCTCTTACAAAATAAAAAATATTGTATTTTCATCTACTAAAGGGCAACACTGGTATGATTTATTTTATCTTCATTTTTTGAGGGAAGGAAACTGAAATCTCAAATTATCTCCTCAAAAATAAAATTAATGAGAGAG